ATGTGGGTACTCAAATGAAAGGTCTTGATAAGTGTAACATCAGGATGAGCTTATTTCTTAAAAAATGTCAATAGTTCACAAAATATAAGCTCATTTCTTAATAATTGATATTTTTAAGGATATGAGCTCATTTCGATGTTACACTCATCGAGACCTTTCATTCAAGTACCCACATGCATTTTCGATATATTTTTCATATATACATATATATAATATATATAAATATATAAAATATAAGAAAAATTGATGTGGGTATTCAAATGAAAGCTCTTAACGAGTGTAACATCAAGATGAGCTTATATCTTTAAAAATGTCAATAGTTCTCAAGATACAAGGTCATTTCTTCTTTGTGTATCTAGGGATAGAGCATTTTCGCAGTTTTAAAAAATATTTAATATTATTATCTAAAGTCAAAAGTATTGATAACTATCTTACCTCAGGACACGTAGTCATACCGACAAGATGACCACCCCATAATCTGAAAGCATTACTCTCCGCTTTCGAAGAAAATCTCGGTCCCTCAATAATTACAATAGTTCCTCCTCTTCTGACATTAATACCCAGTTCCTTAGCAGCTTGTTCAAATACATCAGCGACGTCTGGATGGAACGACGGTTCCATCGGCATATGGCAGACTCCTAAAAAAATTATTAATAATAATTATACATAGATTTTATTTCTGTAATTTTTTAAATTTCATTTTTTTTTTATAATAATAATAATAATAATAATAATAAAAATAAAAGTTACCCTGGTACCGCGGAGAAGTTCCATCAAATAAACTGTTTTTTCTCGCAACAGTCCGGTCAATATAACTATCAGGAATAACTAATTGTCCGCGGCCAATTTCTTCGCACAGTGATCCGCAAGCATTAGACGCTAATATATGAGTGCAACCTATCAATTTTAGCGCTTCGATATTTGCGCGATAATTTACATTAGTCGGGTTAATTTTGTGTCCTTGGCCATGTCTAAAATTATAAAATTATAACCAAAAGATATTAAAATATTTTTTTGAAATTGCACGTAGAATTTTTAATTTTTTTTGTTAAAAAAAAAATTAAAAAAATTTTTAAATTTCTTACTTTGGTAAAATTTAATTTTAAATTAATTAAATAAAATTATTTTGTAAATTTACCGAGATAACAAGGCAACCTCGACGCCATTGATGACTCCGGTATGAATATTTCCACTGGGAAACCCAAAGTCATTTTTTAAATCCTTTAAATCAATCTGATTGCTGTTTTTCAGGACTTTATTTGCGATATCGCCCAATCCGGAGCCCCCGATAATTCCCACCTTTAATTAAAAATATTAAAAAATTTAAATAAAAATATAAATAGTATTATTCATGAGAATTAAAGATTTTTTACCTTGGTTTTATATTTTCCCATATTGAAATTGAAACTGCGACGTTAGTTACGCAAAGATCAAGTCGTTCTTATCAATAAAAAGATAAATTATTAAAAAAATAGAATTTTTATTACAATTTGTTTGTTATTAGTGAGCACAACAGTGAGAATTATCAAGTGTCGCCATCTATTAACGGGTTTGAGTAGTGTAGTAGTTCAAGATGGCGGCAAGTGGTAAGGAAAGTAGTGAGAGCTCTTTATAATTGATAAACGGTAAATTTCTTAATATTTTTGAATTTTTAAAATAATGAGAACATTTAAAGTAATCTATATTAAAGTAAAAGCCGTAATTATTGACACCAAAAGAGACAAAGTTATAATTTAATTTTTTTTAAGCAATCAAATATCAATATCGTTGAATTTTGTTTGTGGTAATGTCTCAAGTAATGTTTTTACTAATCAATTTCTTTTTTTAAAATCATAATCACTGATATTTACTAATTAATTTTAAATAATTAAATAGATTATCCGGAGACACCAATTATTGACAGGTTAAAAAACTGATTGATCTAATTATTGACATACCTTAGCCCCAATTATTGACACCTATACTGCGCACGCCTAGAATCATCAGCTTATTCTTATTTATTGAAACTTATTATTAAGTAATCAATATTATTAAAGTTTATTAATAATAATTTCCATAAATGATTAATTACTATTAAAAATATAAAAATTAATTTAAAAATAATTTATTTAATCAGAAGAGTTCAAACTCTTACAGTTAATTTTTTAGGTTAAAGTCAAAAAAAGGCGTGATAGCGCTGTTGACTGGCTGTCAATATGAGATTCAACTTAAAAATTATCAACTATTTAGTTATTGACACCCATTATTTAAATATTATAAAGGAAACAATTAATTTCGATTATTCAATTTTATAAATTTTTCATATATTGTTAATTGAAAAAAATAAAAAAAAAGATCATATAACTAGATGAAGAAATTAATTTAAACAGCATTTAAAAAAATTGCTTTTCTAACCAAAGTTGTTAAGAAAATAGACGCTCGTAAGGTTTTAACTGGTGCTAACTTTATTTTTTAATAATTAATATTTAATATTAACTGACAGTAATTTTTTTCAATTTTTTAATTAATTAGAATTTAATAAAAATTTATATGATAGGTATTCTTATTACAGATAATTAAATATATTTAAAAATAATTTAGGGTGTCAATATTTAGACCCCTGTCAATAATTGGGGCTTTTACCTTATTAGAAGAATAAGAAAAATTTTTTTTCCAAGACACATAATTAAGAAATGACCTTGTATCTTGTGAACTATTGATATTTTTAAAGATTAAAGCTGACCTCGACATTACACTTATCGAGACCTTTCATTTGAGTACCTACATCAATTTTTCATATATTTTATATATTTATATATATTATATATATGTATATATGAAAAATATATCAAAAATGCATGTGGGTACTCAAATGAAAGCTCTTGATGAGTGTAACATCAGGATGAGCTTATTATATCTTAAGAATTGTCAATAGTTAAGAAAGTACAGTGCAATTTAACAAAAGTAATTATTTAATAAATCAGAATTTTATTTACTTATATTTCACAAGTTTTTTGTCAAATAAGATTGAAGATTGATTAAGTGCCTGTTAATTTTTATTAAATTTTCATTATTTTCAATACATATTAATAAATTAATACCAAGCTTCTTTATATTTTTCAATATCTTCTTGACTTATTTCAGGTCTAATATACTGAGCATGATCAACATTAAAAATCTTGGGCGCAATGAATCCTCCAAACCCTTGCGAGCCTCTATATGAGATACCCACGCCATCAAGAGCGACCTTATTGGAGACTGCAGCGCTCAAGGTATCAAAGTAAGGAACTACAGTTTGGCCCATGTCCTTCTCCCAGGAGGTAACTTGGAAGGTTACTTGGAAATTCGTCGGGTATTGTTGAACAGCGCCGGTGTTTTTGATCGAGTCGTCGCTGTTGGTGATGTCCAGCATCTCGCTAAAAGGTAAGATTGATCATTAATCATCACTAACAATCCCGGTAACCTCTTAACCTTCTAAAAGTTAATTAAAATAACGTACCGCATGTAAGAGTATCTCTTGATCTTCCCCTTCATATCAAATGGCGTGAACCACCTGGAAGGTTTCTTGTCAGTCGGTTCCAATAACCCAGTATCATAATTAAAAGGCGTTCCGTGAACCTTAAGCTGAATTGGACTGTAATTAATTCCAGTTCCGGGGTTGTTTTCCTCGGTGTCGAACTTAACTCCAGTTACAACGTATCCCACGTCGACGATGATATCATCAAGGTTGATGGTCGACCGGTTGTGGTACAAGAAGGTATAGTCTCTGTCGTAGTTCAGCTGGATCAGTCTGTCGTCCCATTCAGTTGGGTCCAGTTGGACAAACGAGCCCTGGGTTGAATTTTGCAGGTACCGGAAATTTCCTACTGGAACGCTTGAAACAGTTGACTTGTCAATGTTTCCGTCCGGAAGAAGGAGACCTTCTTCAATCTGCATGTGGACCATGTTGTTCTTCTTCAGAAAACGGACGTTGGTCACAACCCTGGATAAATAATGTTCCAAATTATCAAAAAAATCCAAAAAAAGTAGAAAAGTAACTATCCAAAATTCTTACATATTGTTCTCAATATCAGACATCTGGGGCATTAAATTGATAGCTTTGGTTGCCAAAGATTCGGCTCCTTCTTCAGAACATTGGCACAGAAGATTGTCAGTTTCTTTAGCTAGTGTGTCAACAAATCGGCCGTTGCAATCATAAGGTCTTGTTGGGAATTGTTTTCCGTCTAAAGTAAAGGCGTAACGTCTGTTGGCTCCAGTTCTCTGAAATAACGCAATTGAAGTTGTTAAACAGTGAGGATACAAAATGTGTGATATAAAATAATCTTACCGCTTCGCAGAAGTTGAAACTTCCAGCTTCTCTGCACTTATGCAATCTTCCGTAGCATTCGTACCGAGGACAGTAGAAGTTTATGAATACATCGTTAGAGCTGTATCTATCCAAGCATTCAATGTAGCTGAGGGTGTTGATTTCCGCCGGATCATAGGGGACTAGAGTGTTCAGCTGCTTTCTGTTGACGTAGTACATACCGAAGAGGTCATTCAGTCGGAAGTATGTTTCACCTAAAAAGATTATCAATTATTAGCTATTTTTTGGAAAAAAATCCATGTAGAAATCTAGATTAGATTAGATGTACGGATTAGTTAAACAGTCCCTTTCTTTATCCAGTACATCTAAGTCACAGAAAGAATAGAAAATTTTTTATCGAAAACACCCATGTTCATAGATTTCGACATGGTACTTTCGGATGGATTCCTATATGCTTTTCTGTAGGATTTTCATGTAATTCTGTAAGAATCAAGCAACAAAAATTGATATAATTACATATAGTTTTATGTAATTATATATACTGCCGTAGGCCAGAAAAAAATAACTGGGTACATCGAGGACTTGAACCGTGAACTTTGCGCTTATCAGTCTTCCGCACCACCCAGTTGTCCAAGATCTTTTTTAATTGATATTATATACTTAAATGACACTCAAGTATAGCCTATCAAAAACATCCATGTAGGTTTGTATGGGGCTCCATGGGAATCCACATGAGAAAGTATGGATTCATATGGGAGATATGTAATCCATAAGATTCAATGTAGGAATTTTTAGATTTATATAGGAATCCATATAGGAAACTTTGGAAATCCATGTGTCTTACAGTTTCTTTAGTGGATTTTCCATAAGATCCATGTACCCTTGCCATGTGGATTTCCATATAGTAATTCAAGTACCCTTTCTATGGATTCCCTTTAGGGAATCCATGTACCATTTCCTGTATGGATACAAATCATAGATTTATTTGGTATCAATGAAACTTACCTAACAAATGCTTTTCTGGTTCACAACGGAAAAGTTCCCTGGATACGCCGTTCATCGTTTCTTTCATAGCCGCCAGGTAGCTGGACATCCTCCTCAACAAGGACTCGATCATCATACCAACTTCACCCTTCACCGCGGCTTCAGTTTCCTCTGCAGATATTTTAAGTAAGTAAATAAGGAATTAAATAACATTAACAATCGTTCCTTACCTCCTACCAAGTGGCGGTAGTTCATCGCAAATGCTTGCATCGCAAAAGCTCTAATTTCACTGACAAGAATAATGTGATACAATTCTCTGAATTGCTCTTGAAACGAATTTTCCAAGTCACATCGTTCATCGAATGTTTGTTTCTATGAAGCAAATAACAATTTGTTATTAATAATTTATCAAAAGAATGAAGCTTAAGAGAACTTACACTTTGATAGTCTCGAAGAAATTCCAGCAGTCCTTCGTAAATTGACCCTGTTTCTCCTGGAGCGAGTAATTTGTGAATTTGAACGAGAGTTTTGGACAATTCATCAGCATAGGGTGACAAAAGGGTATCGCAAAACTCGAGCATAGATTCTTTTCTTATATTAGTGCCGGGTCTAGTGTACATCAAAAAGTTATTGTAGTTTATATCAATTGTTCGAACATATGTCTTGAAAGTTTCTTTCGCTTCGATAAGATTTGTCTGTACTCTTATCCGGTTGATAAAGCTGTTTAACAAAAGACTCGCTCTTTCCGCTACTGTAGCTGGAATGTCGCTAATCAGCGTTGAAATTTCGTTAATGCGGCTCGTAACTATGTCAATTTTTAAATCAACTAGAGTGAAAGTGTCGTTTAATCTAACAAGTTTTTCGTCCAATTCTCTTTGTTTGTTGTCGGCAACACCCAATTGTTCCAGAATAGTTTCAGCGACATCATCGGAGTGATTCAGAGATTGTTCGTTGGCCTTGAGGTTCCTCTTGATCTGTTCGATCTTCTTTACCTGGTCCTTGACGTATTTTTCGTCGGGTTCTTTGAAGAATCTCTCCCAGACGTGGTGAATTTCTCCGCCTATGTCACGGACCATATCACCGATGCCGAACATACCCCCGAATTGCGCATCAACTTGGAAGTTACTTCCGATGGTAAGCACTACTACTAACAGTAGTAGTTTAGCCATTTTTTCGCGGATTATCTGTTGGGTTTCAATGCAAAAGATTATTTGTTGGAAATTATAGGAATAATAATGAAACTTACCTAAATGATGATTAAGAAAGAAATAAACGCCTCTAGCTCATTAATTTAATAACTTCAAGAATTCACTGACAAGACACTCTGGGTACTAAAGTTTAATGTCGAGCGCGTCAAATGCTCTGATAAGCTTCGATCCCCTCCTTTCCTCCCACTAGTGTTATTATTGTTATTATTTAGTAACAAAGAGGGCTAGGGCTAGGTGGTGGACAACTCACTCATTTATATAAATTAGTATCTTGACTGGGGATTTAATCTAACGACTTTTATCTAGATACTTTTAAACGTCGAAATTGACGAGCTAATCAGCGCCGAATGTTTAGGCCTACCCCCACTTCTAGTCCCGCCTCCCACTCCTCGGCCTCAAGGCTTCGCTGCACTCAGGAGGGAGAGGGCTGTCGAAATATTGGAGTTATTAAAATAAAACGACTATTGGGGTGATAAAAATTGATACGTCTTTAAAAAATAAAGAATTCGTGACGTCAACTGTAATTAAAGATTTACTTAATGATTATCGATACTCTATTAAAAATAAGTAATAAAATGTTTTGTTGACGTCAGCAAATAATGTAAAATTTTGGAGGTCACGAGTTCGAAAATGAATCATGACTAGATTTAGAAATCAAATTAATGAACCAAGCTAGGAATAGATCCTGGATCTTCCGATTAGGTCGGGTGCTTTTCCAATGAGTTGAATATTGATTTATTTAATTAATTCATTAACTAAGATTTGGTTCTAGCGTTGTTGAGATGTATCCATGCCAAATTGTCGGGATAAAATTCAAAATTAATGGTTTATACAATAATTTGTCGGTTATTGGATTGGGTTTAGCTGTAGTTGTTAAAGTTTGTGGAAATTATAAGTTCATTAATATTGTTGTAGATAAGAATAAATCGAATAACAATAATAAAGATAAAGGTACAACGTGGCTGCGTCAAGCTGAAAATTAAAAAAAAAAAGACGCCTGAGGTTAACTGGATAAAAAAAAAATTATCGATTAATTAACCTGAGTAGCACCTCTTCGCTTTATATCTGAATGACGCAGTTAATTAGACCAAAAAACATGTATATTATTAGCAGTAATTTATAAAAATCCACAGCCTGAGGGCCACTTATTACTAAAGTGCGTCAACTTATGTCCTAATAATCGGATATATTTTTATCGTACTTGTTAAGTAACAATTCGGGCTATCAAACTTAACAGATCTCAACTAATTTCCAAAAATATTAGTTTACATCATCTTTATTGTTCACTTAAAGAAATTACATAAAGTAATTTTAGCAAGGAATTCAATTAGCATTTACAATAGAGAAGCATTTTATTTCAACCATTCTTTCATCCACTTCTTCCTATCTGAAGCTTTTACATTGGCTAAGGCATACTCAGTATGATCAACAGTCATTAACTTCGGAGCTAAAAATCCTCCGAATCCATCGACTCCTCTATGGATGATTCCTACTCCTTTCAGTGCTCTGAGGTTATTTACTGCAGGTGCTCGCGCATCGAAGTACGGAATAGTAGTTTGTCCCAAGTTTCCACTGACGGCCGAAGGCTGGAATTCGATCTCTTGATTGGGCAGTGAATCCACTACATTGACGAATTCTTCAGTCATCGAATCTTCCATATTCGACAAGTCCAACAACTGCCTATAATTCAACAACAGAAAAATAATTGATTGTTTATTTATTCTTTTTTACTAACATCAATCTGATGATCTTACCTTCCGCTCGTGTACCCGGGACGGTTGTCCAAGTTCTTAGGCGTCATCCATACTGTTCCTTTAGATAGATCCGGACGTAGGACACCCTTGTGGTAATCGAACTTAGTGGCATGTACCTGCAACTCGATTGGCGAGGTGTTGATTCCATTCTCAGGGTTGAATTCCGAGTTTCTAAGTCTGACGCCAGTGACAACGTAGCTTCTGTCGACGTTGATTTCGTCTAGATGGAGCACGTTGTGGTCGTGAGTGATGAACGTATAGTTAGTGTCGTATTTGAGGTAAATTTCATCATCATGATCACTAGGGTTGATCATCACGAATGAGCCATTGTCTGTGTTCTTCAAGTAACGGAATCTGCCGACTGGAACTGTTTCTACAGTGTCTGGGTCGATTTTGGCTTCGGGTAGTAAAGCTCCTTGCTCGATTTGGAGGTGGATCATGTTGTCTTGTTTCAAGAATTTCACGTTTGTCACCACCCTTTAAAAGAAAATTAATAATTTTATATGATCATAAAATCATGATGATTTTTAAATCCATGTAAGTTTGTACGCAAATCAGGGAAATAGTATGGATTTATAAAGGAATCCATAAAGGAAATAAGAAATGGATTCCCTAAAGGGAATTCATAGGAAGATGTACTTGGATTACTATATGGTAATCCACATGGCAAGGGTACATGGATCTCATGGGAAATCCACTAAAGAAACTGTGAGACATCCATTCCCAAAGTTTCTTATATAGATTCCTATATAAATCCACAGATTCCTACATTGAATCTTAAGGATTCCATATCTCCTATATGAATCCATACTTTCTCATGTGGATTCCCATGGATCCCCATACAAACCTACATGGATGTTTTTGATAGGCTATACACTCGTGTCATTTAATTATATAATATCAATTAAAGATCTTGGACAACTGGGTGGTGCGGAAGACTGACAAGCGCAAAGTTCGCGGTTCAAGTCCTCGATGTACCCAGTTGTTTTTATCTGGCCTATGGCAGTATATATAATAACATAAAACTATATGTAATTATATCAATTTTTGTTGCTGGATTCTTACAGAATTACATGAAAATCCTACAGGAAAGCATATAGGAATCCATCCGAAAATACCATGCCGAAATCTATGAACATGGGTGTTTTCGATAAAAAATTTTCTATTCTTTCTGTGAATTAGATGTACTGGATAACGAAAGGGACTATTTAACTAATCCGTACATGGAAAAGAAACTATGAAAATTCCATAGGAATCCATCTGAAACTACCATGTGGGAATCTAGTCTAGTTTTCTCTATGAATTTTCTTAATAGAATCCTTACATGTTATTGTTGATATCCGCCATTTGCGGATTCATGTTGATAGCCCGAGTCGCTTCCGACTCAGCGCCCTCTTCAGAGCACTGGCACATCAAGCTCCTGTACGGAGATTTAGTCATCGTATCAATAAATTCTCCAGGACAGTTCTCAATATCCGAGCTGTTGTATTTGTCCACGGCCCACAGATACCGAGGACCGGATGGGTTTAGCTTCAAATAAAAAAAATTTTAGTCATTAGTGGGCATGGCAGTCTATACTATAAGCATCAATAGATTCCTCACCGATTCGCAGAACGCCGACATTGGATTCACTGTTCTGCAGTCGTGTATTTTCCCAAAGCATTGCCGCTCAGGGCAGTAATACTTCAGTTGCAGTTCATTCTTATTGTTCGTTTCATCTAAACACTCAATGCGGTTGTAAGTGGAAAAGTACTTGAAATTAACGTCAGTTGTATCAGACAATTGTCGTTCGTTTGCAAAGTACTTTGTGAACAAATCTTCCAATCGGAAACAGGTTTCATCTGCAAAATAAGTAAAGTTTCTATTAATTGGTTCTTACAATTAACAATACCTTCGAAAATTGATAAGGTTGATCAATTAGAATTACCTAGTACATGTTGATTCGGATCGCAGGCAAGTAAATCTATCCTAGCGTTGTATGTCAACGTCTTTGATATACCAAGTGTCGTGTGGACTCGCTCAATAAAATTCGATATTTTTTCCGAAATGGTATTTTCATTGGCGACTGAAATAGAATTTAGGTTAGTGATGAAATTACTAGAGGATTAAAGCTAGTAATAAAAGTCTATCAGATACATTACCTTCAGAAGTTATTTGTTGATAATTAAGAGCAAAAAGAATCATCGCGAATCCCCGGATTTCGTTTAGAACCACCAAATCGTAGACGTTCTTGATGCTGTCTTGCACCGGAATGGTAAAATCACATCGTTGATAATTTTTAAAATTCTGAAAACCAAAAAACATGTTAGTTTCTCCAAATCTCAATCTAACTCTTCAAGTATGAATAAATTACCTCATCAAATTGCTTGAGATAGTCGCTAAGGAAGGAAAATGTGTTGTTGGACTCACTTGGTGTCACCGCTTCATAAATCGAGGTGATGATATTCTCCAATTTGTTTTCCTTAATGATTTCGGAAACGAAATTTTCGACCATATCTCTATTAAGCTGGTTGTCAATAGAATTTTCGCTAGTGTCGTAAGCTACCAGTGCGACGAATGTTTCGAAAAATTGATCGAATTGTCCAAAGGAATTAACCAGTTTTGTCGTTACGTCGTTGAAGTCCCATGAATCATTATGCGCTTCAATCAACGGGTCCAGTGATTTCTTCATTGACTCTGATAGCGCGATGAGGTGATCGCCGATGACATGACGAGCCACCAAGTTGGTGTCATTCATTAACAGCCCGAGTTTGTATATCGAATCTGTTTTTGAAGGAATCAAGTTAAATAAGAGGTAAACTGTCTTAGAATATCAAACTTACCGGGTTGAGTTAAAGAGAGCTTGTGAGCTTCATAAAGAGTTGCAGCTATGGCATTGTTGAATTCGTTGATGCTTCTGATGCTGGAAAGACTTGGAAAAGCGCTCGATTGCAGAATATTCCCCAGAAATGAGAACAATAACAATGGCAATGGACCCATTTTTGGATAAATCTGCGAAGTTTTAGATTGTTAGTATAAGTTATGGAAATTATAGGAATAATTATGAAACTTACCTAGATGATGATTAAGAAAGGAATAAACGCCTCTGGTTCATTAATTTAATAACTTCAAGAATTTACTGACAAGACACTCTGGGTACTAAAGTTGAATGTCGAGCGCGTCAAATGCTCTGATAAGCTTCGATCCCCTCCTTTCCTCCCACTAGTGTTATTATTGTTATTATTTAGTAACAAAGAGGGCTAGGGCTAGGTGGTGGACAACTCACTCATTTATATAAATTAGTATCTTGACTGGGGATTTAATCTAACGACTTTTATCTAGATACTTTTAAACGTCGAAATTGACGAGCAAATCAGCGCCGAATGTTTAGGCCTACCCCCACTTCTAGTCCCGCCTCCCACTCCTCGGTCTCAAGGCTTCGCTGCACTCAGGGGGGCGAGAGCTGTCGAAATATTGAAGTTATTTAAATAAAACAACTATAGGGGTGATAAAAATTAATACGTTTTTAAAAAATAAAGAATTCGTGGCGGCAAACTGTTATTAAAGATCTACTTAATGATTATCAATACTCTATTAAAAATAAGTGATAAAATGTTTTATTGACGTCAGCAAATAATGTAAAGTTTTGGAAATCACGAGTTCGAAAATGAATCATGACTAAATTTAGAAATCAAATTAATGAACCAAGCTAGGAATAGATCCTGGATCTTCCGATTAGGTCGGGTGCTCTTCCAATGAGTTGAATATTGATTTATTTAATTAATTCATTAACTAAGATTTGGTTCTAGCATTGATCAGATGTATCCATGCCAAATTGTCGGGATAAAATTCAAAAATTTAAAGATCAACTTAATTATCAATATTTTATTAAAACTATTTGATAAAATGACTAAGGTCAGGAAATAATTTATAATCCTGGGTCACGAGTTCAAAGATGAATCACCACTGAAATGATCAAGAATTGACCTTGAGAATACTTCAAATGTATTAAATAAGAGAATAATTGATCTGTAATAATTTTCAACAAGTTTATTAGCAGTATTTTTTATTGAAGAGAAAAATATTATATCATTCGAGGAAAAACCCAATATTCTGTTAATTTTCGTCTTCTGGATTCAAATCATCTTCTGTTTTTTCTTCACTAGAATCCTCTTCGTTGCGGAGATTCTCAACAATCTCACTGGCTGCAGCAGAAATATCATCAATATCGATTTCAATGTACTCCGCGTGATTAATTGAGAATACTTTAGGCGCAACGTATCCTCCATAACCTGGAATTCCGCGATGGGTGAGAGCAATTCCTCCAAGTGCTACTCCATCCACAATGATAGCAGGACGTGCGTCGAAGTACGGAATGGTCGTTTGTCCAAAATCGGTATCGAAGTTCGTTGGTTGAAATTCGACGGCTGAATTTGGTCTTGCATCAATTCGGTTGCCTCCACTCAGCATTGAGTCTCTTTTACCCTCCATGGAAATTTTATCCCTGAAAGACAATTGAAATATCAAGAAGCTGCACTGATAGAAAGAGTTACCTATATTCAATAAGCTTTATTAATTGTTAATAAATGATTTTTTAACATCATAGGATTTAATAAATATTTATATTAAAATTTAATAAATTAAATGATTGTCTTCAAATAAATTAAATTATAAATAGTTAATAAATCCTTCTATCAATCTAATAAAATATTAGCTAAATTCTTACCTTGCTCTGCCGTAGTTGCGGTCCGTCTCTACATCAAACAAACTGGCATTGAACCACTTAAAGTATCGTCGATCATCCAATTTCAATTCTTGGGCGTCTGTCGGTATAGAAAGCTTTCCTTCGACGTAGTTGAATTTGGTTCCGTGTACTTTCAACCTAAGGGGGCTCATGTTTAGCCCTTGTCTAGGATTAAGATTCTGTCTTTCGAATTTGACCCCCGTGACGATGTAGCCCGTTTCGACGAGGATGTCGTCAAGGTTGAGTTCTGCTCGGTCATGCGCGACGTATGTGTAATCCTGGTCTTCAACCAACGGCCATAATTCTTCATTGTCCGTCCAATGGAAGCCTTCTTCGTCCTCGCTTACACTTCTTATGAACTTTCCAAGTGGCACCCACTCCAGGCTGTCTTCGTCGACGCGTCCTTCGGCTTGGAGTATTCCTTGCTGTATCTGGATGTGGACTACGTTGTCCTTCTTACGCAGTTTTACGTTTGTCACGACTCTAGAGGTTAGATAAATAACTGATTAAGAAAAATTTTGGTACAAAATTAATTTATTAATAGAGTTTGATCTGATGGAAAATTCTTACTTGTTTTTTTTCACATCGGAATATTGTGGGCGTAAATTAAATGCTCGGGTTGCTGTTGATTCAGGACCTTCTTCAGAACATTGGCAAATTACGTCTGCGCATAGAGCTTTGGCGAGGGTGTCGATGTAACGACCGTTGCAGTCGTGGTACGTTGTATTCTTGTTACTCATCCATTCGTAACGTTTTCCAGTTCCTAGTCTCTGCAATTTTTAATTTGTGTTTAAATAATAATACAAGAACTAGACAATTTTAAAAGAACCTAAGGTTTGTATGGAAATCGGTAAATAATATGGAATTTATAAAGGAATCCATAAAGGGAATGAGAAATGGATTCCCTAAAGGGAATCCATAGGAAGATGTACTTGGATTACTATATGGAAATCCACATGGCAAGGGTACATGGATCTCATGGGAAATCCACTAAAGAAATTGTGAGACATTCATTCCCAAAGTTTCTTATATAGATTCCTATATAAATCCACAGATTTCTACATTGAATCTTATGGATTGCATATCTCCTATATGAATCTATACTTACTCATGTGGATTCCCATGGATCCCCATACAAATCCATATGGATGTTTTTGATAGGCTATACTTGAGTGTCATTTAAGTATATAATATCAATTAAAGATCTTGAACAACTGGGTGGTGCGGAAGACTGACAAGCGCAAAGTTCGCGGTTCAAGTCCTCGATGTACCCAGTTGTTTTTATCTGGCTTATGGGAGTATATATAATTACATAAAACTATATGTAATTATATCAATTTTTGTTGCTGGATTCCTACAGAATTACATTAAAATCCTACAGGAAAGCATATAGGAATCTATCCGAAAATACCATGTCGAAATCTATGAACATGGGTGTTTTCAATAAAAAATTTTCTATTCTTTCTGTGACTTAGATGTACTGGATAAAGAAAGGGACTATTTAACTAATCCGTACATGAAAAAGAAAACATGAAAATCCCATAAGAATCCATCCAAAACTACAATGTAGGAATCTAGTCTAGTTTCCTATATGGATTTTTTGATGTTTATTGTTATCGCTAGTAGATTAAAGTAACTTACAGCCTCACAGAATGTTCGCTTTCCACCTTCGAAGCATTTATGTATCCGACCATGACATTGATACCTAGGACGGTAACTTTGGACATATGCGCCTGACTGCGTCAAATCCAAGGAATCGACATGTCCCTGAAAGTCTATGATCTTGAGGTCCTTTATCTCACAATCGCTACTGATCTGTTGCACATTGAAGTAATAGAGCCCAAAGAGACCGTCCAATCGGAAAACATCATCGTCTACAACAAACATCAATAATTTCATCAAAACAATTCAATTTACAAAGAAAAATCACATTAACTTACTGATAACAGGGTTTGGTGGATCGCAGCGAAAAATTTCCGCTGATGAACGTTTGGTGGCTAATTTCATAGCTTGCAGGTATCCACTCATGCGAGTTAGTGATTCTTCAACCGCTATTTTTAAATCGTTCTTGTAGTCTTCAGTAATGAAATTTCCTCCAAACGTTGTAGGGCCTGTAATAACCAATTAAAAATTTATCAACCTCCTAACCCATAGATTAGTTTCTAACAGAGACAACTCTTACTTTTGGTCTCGATTCGCTTGCGGTGGTGCACAAACACTTTCATCATAAAGACTCGAAGCTCGCTGACGACAACAATATTGTAAATAACTCTCAGTTGTTCTTGAAATGACCTTTGCAAATCGCACTTACTTTCAAATCCTAGTTGCTGCAAGTTCAATTGAATTAATTAACATTTTATAGCTATTTTTTATTAAAAACAAACCTTCTGATAGATGTTGACAAATTCGAGGATATTGTCGTGGATGGAAGAATTGCCAGTACCGGTAGTGAACATCGCATGAATGTATTTGATGGTTTTATCCATACCATCATTTTCTTTGGTGGTAACAATTTCGTAGAATCTGTCGTAAGTAGCTTGTTGCAGTGGACGGTCCGGGTTGATGACGATTAGGAATTTCTCATACCAAGTGTCTATGTTAGTGGTGTGCTGCCACAATTGCAACAGCTGATTGTCCATGGTTTGCTGAGTGGCTTGCTGCTTCAGAATAAGGTTGAGCATCTGCTCCATCTTGTTGGTAACAGCTTTGGGAATCTTCGTGAACTCCGCGGTGATTCTTGCAAGGTTCTGGACTACTTTGTCCAATCGGCGAAGCATTACCTCCGCGACGTCGTGGATGTCGTCGACTTTACCGCCGATCTCATCGAGGTTTTCGATTATGACATCGGTTGCTTCTTTAAAGTTCGTCAGCGAAGTATTTAACTTCTTGGAGGTCTCGCCAAGTCCCTTAGTCGCATCGTCGATTTTTTTTAGCTTGTTATTTGCGTCCGGAGGAGCCTTAGTTGATGTTTGTTTAAAAGATTTAACAGTGTCGCTTATTCCGGAATACAGATCTTGGGAAATTGCCATGAATCCGGACAGTTTGGTGGTACTGAAGCCCTTAGCGGATGCGTAGTTAGTAGTAGTGCAAAGCACTACTACTAACAGCAGTAGCTTAGTCATTTTTTCGCGGATTGTCTGTTGGGTTTCAATGCAAAATATTATTTGTTGGAAATTATAGGAATAATTATGAAACTTACCTAGATGATGATTAAGAAAGAAATAAACGCCTCTGGTTCATTAATTTAATAACTTCAAGAATTTACTGACAAGACACTCTGGGTACTAAAGTTTAATGTCGAACGCGTCAAATGCTCTGATAAGCTTCGATCCCCTCCTTTCCTCCCGCTAATGTTATTATTGTTATTATTTAGTAACAAAGAGGGCTAGGTGGTGGACAACTCACTCAATTATATAAATTAGTATCTTGACTGGGGATTTATAATCTAACGACTTTTATCTAGATACTTTTAAACGTCGAAATTGATGAGCAAATCAGCGCCGAATGTTTAGGCCTACCCCCACTTCTAGCCCCGCTTCCCACTTCTCGGCCTCAAGGCTTCGATGCACTCAGGGGGGAGAGAGCTGTCGAAATATTGTAGTTATTAAAGTAAAACGACTATTGGGGTGATAAAAATTGATGCGTCTTTAAAAAATAAAGAATTCGTGGCGTCAAACTGTAATTAATGATCTACTTAATGATTATCGATACTCTACTAAAAATAAGTGATAAAATGTTTTATTAACGTCAGCAAATAATATAAAATCTTGAAGGTCACGTGTTCGAAAATGAGTCATGATTAGATTTAGAAATCAAATTAATGAACCAAGCTAGGAATAGATCTTGGATCTTCCGATTAGGTCGGGTGCTTTTCCAATGAGTTGAATATTGATTTATTTAATTAATTCATCAACTAAAATTTGGTTCTAGCGTTGATCAGATGTATCCATGCCAAATTATCGGGATAAAATTCAAAATTAATAGTTTATACAATTATTTATCGGTTATTGGATTGGGTTTAGCTGTAGTTGTTTAGGTTTTTGGAAATTATAAGTTCACCAATATTGTTGTAGATAAAAATAAATCGAATAACATTAGAAAGTACAACGTGGCTGCATTAAGCTCCCTACGATTGACAAAACGCTCGAAGCGGTAATCTAATTTAGATGCATTGACGTCAATGTATCAAATTTGACTTACGGATCACACATGAAATATAATTTTAGGGATATAATTAAAAAAGATTAGTCATCTATTGATTTGCAATAGCCGCCCTTTTGGTTGCACCTCTATGGACAATTTCGACACTTTATGGATACTTATATTAAACTGGCACTCAATTTTTGATCTACTGATCATCAGCAAGTCGACATAAACTATACGGAAGTGTTTTTCTTGGAAGTCTCGGAATCATTATCTAATATTTGTCACCTCGTAGGTCAAGAGATAAAATAGATGTTCATTTTTAAACCAGAGATCGAAAAATTTTGTTTTTCTACAAGAATTTACATTAGCTGAAAATTAAAAGAAAAAAGACGTTTGAGGCCAACTGGATAAAAAAACAAATTATCGATTAATTAACCTGAGTAGCGGCTCTTCGCTTTATATCTGAATGACGAAGTTAATTAGACCAAAAAAACATGTATACTAGCAGTAATTTATAAAAATCCACAGCCTAAGGGCCACTTATTACTAAAGTGCGTCATCTTATATCCCAATAATCAGATATATTTTTATCGTACTTGTTAATCAACAAATCGGACCATCAAACTTAACAGGTCTCAAATAATTTCCAAAAACATTATTTTCATCATCTTTATTGTTTACTAAAAGTAGTTACATAAAGTAATTTTAGCAAGGAATTAACAGTTACCAATTAATTATCGATTTCATTCACATCATCAGATTCATCTTTACTATTATTAATTGTATACCCAAGTGCATTCTCTTGACTCAATCCATCAGCACTATCCAAAAAGTCCTTTTCTAACTTTTTTTTCTCCTCGGGAGTCAATTTACTAACAACATACTCAGCGTGATTAAGTCCAATGAGCTTTGGCGAGATAAATCCTCCAAAGCCTCTCCTCTTACGATAAACAATTGCCATCCCGCTGAGTGGCACTTGACTTTGCTTAGTCGCCGGACGTGCATCGAAGAACGGAATTACTCCTTTTCCGAATCCAACCTTCGCCGTCATTTTGAACTCTAATTCCGTATTTGGCGGCCACAATTCCGTATTTTTGTTGCTATCAGTTGAAAGTCTCAATTTCTTCAGTAACGTCTTCGTTCTGCAATTACATACTACCAATAATTAAAAGTTTACTTTCCAATTCATTTTTCAAATACTTACCGAGCTTTGCTATAAGCGTCATTATGTTGAGACTGCGTGTTGTTGTTAGCAATCACAGAAATATGCTGCTCTTTTTTATCCTTTGACAAGGTTCCATTCTGATAAACAAACTTGGTCTTGAATATTTCAAGCTGAATAGCGCTCAAGTTCGGAGTTCCTAACTGAGAATTCTCATAGGCGTTCTTGAACCTCGCCCCAGTTACAACATAATCCTTGCCCACAACGATTTCATCCAGGTACAAGCTCTTCTTGTTGTGACTCAAAAAGGTGTAGTCCTCATTGAAGACCAGCCCGATTTGCTCCGTTCCTTTGACCTTCCAGAAGCCGCCTTCTGGGGTATTTTGCCGGTAGACAAGGTCGTCTAGCGGAATCCAACGGCGAGTACTCGTGTCTATTTCTCCTCCCGGTAGAATACGAGCCTCTTCAAGTTGGATGTGGACTACATTGTCCTTCTTGCGGAGCCTCATGTTCGAGACAACCCTTAAAGAAACCATAGTTATCATCACTACCATTCATGTTTAAACATCCAAATAAAATTTTGTGTAAACTTACATGTCGTTGGCGACATCAGTGTATTGAGGAATAAAACTGATGGTCCTAGTTGCGGTGGATTCAGCTCCTTCTGCAGAGCATTGACACATACACTCAATGCACTTGGACTCCTTCATAGTGTCGACCCAACGTCCATCACACTTCAATCGGCTGCTTTTGTCCGTTAAACTTTCAATCCAATGATACCTCGTCGGTGCGCCTTCGTGCTGCAAAATATAATAATTAAATTGACTCGAATGATTATTTGCTTTTCTGGTTGAAGTAACTTACCGCTTCACAGAATTCATAGTAATTCTTAACTTCACAATCGTGGATCCGACCGTTGCACTGCTGTTTAGGACAATACTCTTTCACTGTCAAAGCGTCCTTGTTCTTTACATCTTTCTTGCAGGCGAGTTTGTTGACAGTGTTAATTTTCGGGCATGATCGGGAGCACCGGTTACCAATCTGGTCAGTACTCAGGTAGACTATGCTGAATAAATTCGTCAGGGAGAAGGTGTTGATGTCTAGAAATGATAACATATGTAAGCCAATTGCAAGGAAAAATAAATCTTTTTGATGGATTAAATTAATTACCCAGCATGTACTCAGGAGGGTCGCATTCGATGATTTCCGTGGATGCAAGTGCCATCGCCTCTTTCATGGCGACCAAATGGTTTGATGTCCTGTTGACGTACTCACGGAAATTTGTGAGTATATCGTTCTTTGCTGATCTGTCCACTGAAAGTTAGGAAATAAATAAATCATAAGCCAAGATTCGTTTAATTATGAAGAGATTTTAAAGTGAATAATTAATCGTACGCTTTTGGGTTTCGAAATACTTGTGGGCGATAGTCAGCATCACTAAGGCACGGTACTCGTTGATAGAGATCAAGTTGTAAATCCTCTTGAGACGATTCTGGTAAGTGTCACTCAAGCCGCATTTTTCTTCAAATGACATTATCTGAAAGGATTTAAAGGGTTATAGTAACTTATCAAGAAAATCCATATAGGAAACTAGACTAGATTCCCACTTGGTAGTTTTGGATGGATTCCTATAGGATTTTCATGTAAGCCTGTAGGAATCCAGCAACAAAAATTGATATAATTATACATAGTTTTATGTAATTATATATATATATATATATATATATATATATTGCCATAGGCCAGATAAAAACAACTGGGTACATCGAGGACTTGAACCGCGAACTTTGCGCTTGTCAGTCTTCCGCACCACCCAGTTGTCCAAGATCTTTAATTGATATTATATACTTAAATGACACTCAAGTATAGCCTATTAAAAACATCCATGAAGGTTTGTATGGGGATCCATGGGAATCCACATGAGAAAGTATGGATTCATACAGTAGATATGGAAACCATAAGATTCTATGTAGGAATCTGTGGATTTATATAGTAATCCATGTGTCTCACAGTTTCTTATGTGGATTTCCCATGAGATTATCCATGTACCCTTGCCTTGTGGATTTCCATATGGGAATCCATGTACCATTTCCTGTATGGATTTCTATATAAATCTATGCATTCCTACATGAATTACTAAAACAAATTCGCAGGATTACCTTTCCTCTGTTGTTGAAGGCATCGAGGAACCCTTTGTACAGGACAGATTTCTCGCTTGTAAGCATATCCTCTATCGCATAAAGATTGCTAGTGAGTTCCTGAGCACCGTTGGACAAGGTGGTATTGAAGAGATTCTCGTAGGTCATGGATGTCAAGGGAGTCTTGGGATTAAGATTTTCTATGTACCCGTCATACATGTTCTGAATTCTTCTCAAAGCCTCAGCGAGCAGCTTTGAGGATGTCCTGAACTTATTTTCGACTTTAAGTCTATCAGCCAGGTTGTTCATCAATTCGGTAACTTTGGTTTCGATGGTAGCTGTTATTTTAGGAAGTTTATCCAGGACGTATTGCGATTTTATCAAAACTTTGTTTAAGTTCAAGTTGGTTCTTTCCGTATAATTCAGAGCTTTAGTGGCAATCTCGTCTATCTCAAATAATCGCTGATTGACGTTCGCCGCGTGGTCTTCGGTGTCTTTTATGACTACCAGAGTTTCATTCTTCAATGCATCTTGATTCGCTATATACGTGTTTATTTTTTCGATTGACTGCAAAGTTTCATTGCTTAAAGCGAACGGATCTTTGACTTGGTTATGACCCGGCGCTATGTCTTCCAATATGGTGTTGATTAGACCTCGGCCGGCTTCAACCATAGGAGCGATAGCCATCAGAGGAATTCCTGCGCCGATGTCCTTTATTCCGAGAGCCAGAACCAGGCTCACAAATATCCACTTGCTCATTTTTAACGATTCAGTCTTCTGAGCGATACCTTAAAATTTAATCTTGAAATTAATCATATTAATACTAAAAATTAAAATAATAAGACCTACCTGGATGATGATCAACAAGTGAATAAACGCCTCTAGCTCATTAATTTAATAACTTCAAGAATTCACTGACAAGACAGTCTGGGTACTTGTTTAATGCCGAGCGCGTCAAATGTTCTGATAAGCTACGATCCCCTCCTTCCCTCACACTATTGTTATTATTGTTATTATTCAGTAACAAAGGGGGCTAGGTGGTGGACAATTCACTTATTTTATACATTAGTATCTTGACTGAGGATTTAATCTACCGACTTTGATCTAGATACTTTAAAACTTTGAAATTGACGAGCAAATCAGCGCCGAATGTTCGAACCTATTTCCACTTCTAGTCCCGCCTTCGTAAATCAATTAACTAAGCTACGAATGGATCCTGGATCTTCCGATTACTTCGGGTGTTTTTCCAATGAGTTGAATATTGATTTATTCAATTAATTCATTAACTAAGATTTGGTTCTAGCGTTTGCAAGATGTATCCATGCAAAATGTCGGGATAAAATTCAAAATTAATGGTTCATACAATAATTTATCGATTATTGGATTGGGTGTCGTTGTAGTTGTTAAAATTTGTGGAAATTGTAAGTTCACCAATATTGTTGTAGATAAGAAAAAATCGAATAACAATAACAAGAAAAAAAGAACAACGTGGCTGCGTCAAGCTGAAAATTAAAAAAAGACGCCTGAGGCCAACTGGATAAAAAACAAATTATCTATTAATTAACCTGAATAGCGCCTCTTTGCTTTATATCCCGAGGACGGAGTTAATTAGACCAAAAATAGATATATATATATATATATATATATATATATATATATATATATATATATATATA